TCGCCAAAAAAACTCGTGTTCGCAAAATTTCCCTCCCCCCCCTCTCTCTCTCTCTCTCTCTCTTTTTCTCTCTGTTCGTTCGTGTTTGGTAGGTGGATAATAGGTAGGACGGTAATAATTAATCGCAAACCTGGCCACTTGGTTCCCCTCGATCGCTAATATTCGAAAAATCGAGATGGTTCTCTCGAGTCGTGGAGAGGTGCCAGTCGTCGAGCTCGAACGTTTTCCGCCCGAAAAAAAGTGGCGCATGACGCGACACGCGCCTTCGCACAGGGGATAATAATTAATATTAATGTCGCGTTTCCAGCATGCGTTTCAGCTGAGTCAGCCAACGCCGCGCTCCTCTTTTCGTTTTCTCTTCTTCCCCCTCCTCCTTCCTCCACAACCAGGGGAATCGATCAAAGCGGGTCTCGCGCGTAGAACACGCGAGAAACCACGCGAGCCACCTCCCTCCCTCCCTCCCTCCCTCCTCCTTTTCCTTTCTCCTCGAATCGCCTCGATCTCTACGCGCGAGTAGAGCTTTTTACGCGCCTCCGCCGCGGGGGAAAATGTGCCTCGCGAGCACATTACGCGAGACGTGTGTACGTTTAACCCGCCCCTCCCTTCCCTCTCAATAGCCGCTCGTGGGGTGACGCGCGGTCACGCCATAACCCGAAAACCACCCTTGTATTCCACCACCTTTCCGTTGGGAAGGGCGGCGAGGCTCGTAAAGACAAAAATCGGGACTCTTATCGCGTTGGATAAATTTATCGCCTCGCCTAGCCTCGCTAGGGAAGGGAAACGGAGCCGAAACCAGAAAGATACTGCTCGACGAGGGGGATATATATATATATATCTCGCGAACCGGATTGTCCGGCCCGAGGCTATCCTTATTTCTCTCGACAACGATATCATCCGTCCATCTACCGGTAACGCTTACTCACGCACGCCCCCGATGCTCGATCACGCTTCAACGAATCGCCATCAACGTTGGGGATGGCGGCGAGTCCAGTCCGTGGAATCCAAGTCCAGGCGTTTTTTTATTTCGAGGAGGTGGATCGTGGTTCGATCTCGAATGCGTTGTTTCGGGTATTCAAAACCGTCTATACACGCGTTCGATCGAGGGAAGGAGGGTTGAATCCGGAAATATCATGGAGGATCGTCGAAGGCGTATCGAGGATAAATCGAGAGGGAAATAATGGGGGGAGGGGGTGGGTAAGTCGTGAACGTATAATGGAAACGTTAATGTCGAGCGACGGTGGCACGGTCGCGTGAAACTCATCCGAACGCGATAATACAAGGACGGCCTTTACCCTTTCCGTGTCTCCTTTCAAGGAGCGCTTTAATTCGCGATAAGTACGCGAGGGGGAGTTTAACCGGTGGCGTGACCAGATATACGAGTTAACTGCCTACCTTGCCGGACAACCGGGCTATACAGGATAAGATAACGACTCCTCCGTACGTGTCCCTCTTCTCCTCGCCCTCGCAGTCGATGAACGATCGAGCCGGTTCTTCGCGAGTTCTCGCTTCGATCGCCTCGAATCCAATTAAATTGGGAACCGCGCCGGGTCTTCCACCGATCGCCCCTTCTTCCTTTCTTCGCCTCGTCGATTGTCCCTCGAAAACGAATTGCACCGCGCGAGAAAAGGAATGAATCGTCCCCAAAGAGAGAAAGAGTTAAATTCTGGCTGGTTGTAGAACGCCTTTTTTCGAAGCGAGTTCTACATTCCTGAAGTAAAAAAACCCTGTCTGAAGAAGAATCGTATCTTTGTATCGCGCTTCTCTCTCTCTCTCTCTTCATTTTCCCCTCGGCCGTGAGAATATCGTGGCGCGATTACGGGAAATCGGACGGAAAGAGGATGCGTTTCCGGGCGAGGAAACTCTTTTTTTCCCCGCGTTTCGCCGTGTCGATTAATCCTCGAATCGTTCCTCCTTCAATCGGATAAATTGACTTTTACGATCTCTAAAGGTAAAGGTATTGGAGGGCGGTGATGCATCTCCGCCGACGGAACTTCCGCAGAAAAGAAGGAACGAACAAAAGCGGCGTGCATGGATGAACGGCATGGATGTGCGTCGCTTCGTCTTCGAAAAAATGGGAAACGAGAGAGAAGTATTTAGCATTCGACACACTCGACGCGAACGAGTTCGAGCATCTGGAATAGAACTCGTTATACTCGTCGGGAGAAGCGAATGAAAATGATATACTTCGCGCGAATCTTACTTTCCACGATACGAGCGTTTCCGTCCAACGCGGAAAATTTCATCGAAATACAATAATTTCGTTTAATTTCGCTTAATTTTAGATTGATTTTTCGCGAGAGAGAAATCGACGAAAATTAGCGATTCTTTGCCGATTTAATCACGATCCTCCCGGAGGAGGATATCGAATCGTCGAAAGAGAGAGAGAGATGAAATCTCGTTACGTTGATTCGCGGGGAGAATTAACGGAGAGAATCGCTGGTGATCGGCGAATTTCAAGGTGGATCGTTCGTGGCAAAGACGAGAGAGTAAATTTCGCGGTTCGTTTTCGCCGGCCGGGGTGGACGAAGGAGGAGGGGCGGATCGAGGAGGGAAGAAAGAGAGGAGAAGTTCGCGTTTGGAGAAGGTAGCGATGGCCGGAGAGAGCGGAGGACTTGGAGTGGCTATTCAAAGCCGAACAGGCGTGCAATTAATTCCTGAGCGTGGAGAAAGCGAATCGAGACGGCCGATAGGGTGGCACTTGTGAACCGCGTCACGATCGTTGGCCCAAAAGCTGAGTAGAGTCGAGGGAACTCGAACCCCGGCTTGTCTCCGAAAACGCCGCGGGCACTCTAATTCAATGGACGATTCCGCTACGTACACCGCAAGTGACGTTATTGTCGTCCCGCTACGGACGTCCCCTCCCCTCCGCCGGACCCAGCAAAACCCGAAACGAGACGTCAAACCACGATTCTATGCGCCCCATTATCGATTCGTGCCGAGTACTCCCCGCGATTCGTTCGAAAATTAATTTAACCTACGTCCAGGCACGGATATCAAATTTAAAGCCCGATCAAATTTCCTTGACCAAACGTCGTCCGAACGTTCCTCTTTCTCCTCGCTTTTCTCTCTCTCTCTGTCCGCTCCGTGTCCGGATCTGGTGTCGGTTCCTCGCAGAGAAACGATTCCGCGTCGATCGCTCCAATCGGATATATATTTCTCGTCGAAACTGCCGTTCCACACGGCCGAGTATCCTACCTAATACACGTGTGTTTGTTTCGTCATCCGCACAAGGGATGTTTCGTAGCGATGTTATTTAAACTACAACTTGAATACAACGATGTGATAAATATCTTTCAATCGTATCGATCGTATCGATCGAGCGGTGATATAACGAGTGAACGAAAACATGTAGTTTTAAGGAAGGGAATAAAAAATAATGAAAGATCGAAAGAATACGTAATGCAACCAATAATATAGGAATGTAATTTTAGCAATAAAAAATTTATCCGACTTAGCGGCTGAAAAGATACGTGGAATCTTGAATAAACGAAGAAAGTAATTGTTCTATTATTCCTGTTATCACACACGAAGGACGAGAGGGATCTTGGATCTTGGATCTTTACCATCGACTCGCACTTGCAACGCGACGCGTTCCGGCGAAGAGTGGGAGGTGATGATAATTCGGAATTTCGTATTTAAAACACGTATTCGCGCGTCGAGTTTTTCGCGTTCGGTCGTGGTGGCGCGCCGCGATTAAAGAGTCGTTCCACGTTTACGTAATTTGCACGCGGAACTGACGCGGTTGGCATTTCCAAGTCCATTAAGATCATAGCCCGGGTAATTAGAAGGGCGATGTATCTTGGTTCTCGCGAGAGCGGGACTGGATTAAGCGGTGGTACGGGCGCGGAACAGATTAACCACGCGGAACGCTTCTTTCTGGTAGGTAACTTATAAGCCGACCACGTACGCGCTCGTAACCAGTCACCATCCCCCCTCCCCACGTACAGTCGTAGTACTCTCGTGAAAAGAGTCGGGCCTCGCCTCGAAATCACGTTGGAACGTACGAAAAATTGCGTCCCCCTCTTCGAGGAAATAATTCAAGCAAACTCGCCTCGCCCGGTCTCTCTTTGCGCAACGAAAATGCATTACGAAACGGGTATATTTTACGACACGGAGGAAAGGTCGCCCCTCCCCGCTATGGCCACGCGTAGCCACCCCCACCCACAGTCACCGTCGTAAAATATCGCGCGAGCTTAATTAAACGCGAACCCCCCTTTCGAACGACCGCGAAATTTCCCCTCCCCCCCCCCCCCCCCAGCGCCGATGGTACGCGAACTCGCCGCTAGTTGCACTCGTCGCGCTGTTACGTCGATTCGAAGGAAACGAAGGTGTCGTTTATCGTTTCCTCTCGATAAAATTTGTCCCTTCCTAGTATTACTAGCTAGTAGTAGTAGTAGTAGTAGTAGTACTACTACGAGGAGGGGGAGGAGGAGGAGAAGAATGGAGAGGCAAAGAGGAAAGAAAGGAGAACGGGCAACAAAGGAGGGTACAATGGAGTTTGCCGGGGCATTGTTTGAGCATCTAGTACAATCGACTCGCGTCCTCCGTGCCCTCCCCCCCTCCTCGGCGTCCCTTGGTCACTCGATCGAGCCGCAACTTTTCAAGCTTTTCTTGGTCGCGTTGTAGTAAGTAATAGTCGGAGGTCGGAGTCGAAGGTCTCTCGGTCGCCGCGAGATTTTATCGTCGAAATATCATCGCGAGGGGAGGGAGGGGGTTGAGTGGCGTTCGGAGTGGCGTTTTTTTTTTTTCTTCTTCTTTTTTTTAATACTTCCATTGTACGCGTTCCGTTCATAGTAGGTCAAGCGTTTGGCGGTGGGATTTCGGTGGGAAGAGAGAGACTCCTCCCTCCTCTTCCTCCTCTTCCTCGCCGACCGCGCAAAGATGCCCGGTTTGATTTGGTGGAGTTCGTTCGTGCGCCGTGTTTTTTTTTCACCGCTTTTGAAAAAAAAAAAAAAAAAGAAAAAGAAGAAAGAAAAATTTGTTTCCTCTTTCTGTTACAGTGACGGGGTTGAAGCTGCTCGGCATAAACGTCCCGGCATACTCCCTTAGGGGCAAGAGTGCGCTTCTCGAGTGCAGGTAAGAGGCACTTGGACGTGGTGCAACGTCGTCGAACGGTATCGTTTTCAAAGGGATTCTTCTTCCCGCTCCTTCCACGCGTCTCGTTTTTCTTCCCCATCGATCCCATCGATTCGTCCCACGCCACCGAAATCGTTGGCACGCAACGTGTGCACTTACCGTATTCGGAAGGAAACGGGTTTGGTCTCGAGTGGCTAGATTTCCTTACCTCCGATTCTTAATAAGAGGTCAATTTGTAAATACTTTCCTTTATTCGATCTATATTTATTTATCGAGGCTTGTAAGACGCATCAAGTCGCAAAATCATCTCGAGTTGCCATTGAAAACTTCCATTAAAAAACTCAGCGAAAGGAAACGGGTTTGCCCTCGAGTCGCTAGACTTCCTTACCTCCGATTCTTAATAGAGGTATCAATTTGTAATCAAATAGTTTCCTTTATTGGATCTTTATTTCTTTATCGAGGCTTGTAAGACGCATACGCGCAAAATCATTTCGAGTTGCCATTGAAAACTTCCATTGAAAGGAAACAGGTTTGCCCTCGAGTGGCTAGATTTCCTTATCTCCGATTCTTAAAAAGAGGGCAGTATCAATTTAATGATAAATATATTAAATTATTAAATAGTAAGGAAATTAATTAAATAGTTTGGATCTATATTTTTTTATCGAGGTTTGTAAGACGCATATCCGCAAAATCATTTCGAGTTGCCATTGAAAGAAAACGGATTTGCCCTCAAGTGGCTAGATTTCCTTATTTTCGATTCTTAATAAGAGGGCAGTATCAATTTAATGATAAATATATTAAATTATTAAATAGTAAGGAAATTAATTAGATAATTTCCTTTATTGAATCTATATCTTTTTATCGAGGTTTGTAAGACGCACCAAGTCGCATATCCGCAAAATCATTTCGAGTTGAAAACTTCCATTGAAAAAAAACGGGTTTGCCCTCGAGTGGTTAGACTTCCTTACCTCCGATTCTTAAAAAGAGGGTAGTATCAATTTAATGATAAATATATTAAATTATTAAATAGTAAGGAAATTAATTAAATAGTTTGAATCTATATTTTTTTATCGAGGCTTGTAAGACGCACCAAATCGCATATCCGCAAAATTATTTCGAGTTGCCATTGAAAGGAAACGGATTTGCCCTCGAATGGCTAGATTTCCTTATCTCCGATTCTTAATAAGAGGGCAGTATAATAATAAATATATTAAATTATTAAATAGTAAGGAAATTAATTAAATAATTTCCTTTATTGAATCTATATTTTTTTATCGAGGTTTGTAAGACGCGGTATCAATTTGTAAATAGTTTCCTTTATTGGATCTATATTTCTTTATCGAGTCACATACGCGCAAAATCATTTCGAGTTGCCGAGTTTGACTGAAAAACTCGTTGCATCAGAATTCAAAGAATTCCAAAACGCATATAATACAAAAATATACGATACTTTGATTTACAAACGTAACCTCCCATTCGATTAAGATGATAATCTGTAGACGATATTTCGAAAATATTTCAGCTTCCAGTCTTAATTGTCGAAATCTTTCCTACTGTGCAGCGTCTCTCGAGGCTCGCTTCCGTCGGAAGAATCGGCGCGATCGCGAGCCGATAAAACAGCAACCTACCGTGATCGTCTTGGAACCGCGGGATAAATCCACTGGCGACCGTCCGTGGGACGGAATCGGATTCGAAGGGGAGGGAAGGGACGCGCGAGGACGGTTTTCCAACGATTTTTCTCTGTTTATTTACGGTAAGGGGAACCGGTCGAGAAGAGGTCGTAAAGACATCGATAAGATGCCAGCCAATAACGTATCGAGTTTACGCTTACCGTCCGAACGGGACGGTAAATAAGATTAAAAATAAGAGCAAGAGAAAAGGGTGGGATGGATCGGGGTAATCCCTTGGAGCTACGAATCTCGATATCTTTTTCGCTTCTCCTCGCGCTTTATTTATTTATACTCCCAATATCGTGGACCGCAATCCGAGCGGGAAAGCGCAATCCTCCTCCTCCTCCTCCTCCTCCTCCTCCTCTCCCCCCCTTTCTCGCCTGAAAAAAGATACCCGCCTCCGTCCGACGCGCGTACAATCTTCCGCTCCCGCGAGATATCTCCCCAAAGATATCTCGATACCACTCGCCCCCCATCTCCCTTTCCGATTCCCGCGAACCGACCAGTACCGACAGTTTCCACCGAGTGAGCTTCATCCCCTCCCCCTTGGCCCCGTTGCCTTGAGCCAGTTTAGACACCCACCCGGTGGTAGTCTAGACCGAATTTGCGAATCCAATCTTTCCCTCTCTTCGCCCCGAATAACGTTTCTGCGCGGTCATCGCAGACTCTCTCTCTCTCTCTCTCTTTCTCTTCCTCTCTTCGGGTCGGGTTCGACCGGTAATTGCGCGCGAGTCTAGTAGTTAACGGCGGAATCAAAGTTTCGGGGAACCGGATGGGTTTCGCCGAATCTCTTCGTTAACGAATCTCTCGATTAACCACGATTCACGGAGGGAAGACTTGGATGGAAGGAATCCAAGAGTTTACGCGTTTCGCATCTCGTCTCACTGTGTTATATTTGGAAGATATCGAATCGCAGAGATTCGAAATATATATAGAGGGGAATAGCCGAGTAATAATGCGCTATTGTTTCCCTCGATATATATATGTGTGTGTGTGTGTATACACGCGTAATCGTAATATTTCGTAGGGAAAATAGTACGGTTGAATTAATGTTTGGCCGAGCATCCTGTTTAAGAGTGGAATAGGAGGTCAGTGGTATCCCGGTACGAGGGAGATATTCGATCGCGAGAGGTGATATTAAAACATTATCCGCTCCGCTTTAAAGCGATGATATCTCAGGAATGGAAAGTCGTAACGGTATAAAACTCGGAATCGTTTTTAAAGAAGAGAGTTTCCCGTCGAGCTTATCGTCAAGATACGAAGGAGGAAGAATTCTATTCTTTGCTTCGTGCAAAGTTTTCGACGGCGTTTAACCTCGATCGTGTATCGAATGCGTCCTTCTATTCCGATAATTTTTAATCTTCGATATAAAATCGGAATAAATTCGGAAACGAAATTTGGCGAGATACGAAATTCGAGCGGAAATTATCAGCAACAGAAATTTTTAATAGTAGAATTTTGCCGCGATGATTAATAATCACGATAAGTGGATCGATTAAAAAGGCGTTTTTTCCTCCCCAAAGGCGAGAAGAGAGAAGCGAGGAACGGGATGAACCGTGGAGGCGGTGTCCCCGATGATATTTCGCGGATCCTTAAGCCCCGCGCGCGTGCCGCCATGTTAATTAAGACGTAATGAAATTATGGCGCGGCATTGCGCGTCCTACAATTACGGTTAGTCGGAATATGCATTCTAATTAGTGGCGCCACGGTCTCGACGACTTTTCACGAAGAAAATAAGGTCGACCGTTGGGTATCGCGTCGGGGGCGTATTTCCAAGAGAGCACTTGTTGTTTTTCGAGAGAGACGTAAGAAACAGGCGGCAATTGCCGGGGAATGCCGACTTTTTTTCTTTTTTTTTTTTCCTTCTTCTTTTTTCATAAACGTGTCACCGACCTCGACCGCGAGAGATCGGTCGATTATAAAAATCTATCGAGAGAGAGAGAGACGCGTGTCGTCGGCCGTGGATCGATCGAATCGAACGCGCTGCGCTGATCCCACCAGCCACCTGTCGAGGCGAAATCCCAAGATTAATTCACGGAACACGAAGTCGAGCGTAAGATAAGAGTTTTTCTCAATTTTCTCTCTCTCTCTCTCGCCTCGACCGTTGTTTTTCTTGGAAATAGTCCCGTTCCTTCGTTACGTGGTTTAACCTTAGCAAGGGTTGATCGTTTTTTTTCTTTTTCAGAAATCAAACGTACGATGAAATTTGAACGTAAACTCGATCGAGATAGATAGATTCTTCGAATTGGCTATTATCAAATACCATCGATTCCAAGTCTTTGTTTCCTTCGAATCCGAATAGTAACGCGCAAGTCTGTCTAATCTAATAGATCGATACTTTTTTCTCTGTTTCTCTCGAAACGAACGAGAATATATACGCGGTTAATTTCATCCAAGGTTCTTTTCCGTCCCCTCGAGGATTTCCTCTTCTTCTGTCAAAATATATCCACCCGTTCGTATTCTAATTTCTTTCCACTCTCTTTCGTAAAAGTTCACGGAAAACGGATGGTTGAACGCGCGAAAGAAGGAGGAATAAGAGTATACGCCTTCCTCCTCCATTCCTCCTCCGTTCCCATTTCTCGTTCACGATTCTCACGATATCACGGTCCAACGATATCGGCACGGAATTTTACAAACTCGAGACGCATCTCTCTCGTGAACGAAACGATCCCTCGTTTATTTATTCCGGGAGCCAGCACCGGTTGGAGTAACGAGTTCGAATAAGCGAAATTTGGATCGCGTTGAAAATAGAACGGGATGGGGGAAGGAAGGGACAGGTTCTCGCGACGGCGACGGTTTTTGAGTAATTAACGAGAGACGTTCGTTGAACTTTGCGTGTTCGACTCGATTCGATTTACTCGAGCAACTCGAGATTCGACTCGTATCGGAACGAGATCGGTGAACGAGGCAATCGAATTGGTAGGGAAAGGTAGGGAAAGGAGGTAGTTTTTCGAAAATCCTCCTCCCGATTATCAGGGAGGATCGTTCCTCTTCCCTCGCGGAAAAACACGGACGGGCGGAGTGTCGTTTGATATCAGGTGGGTGGCGAGACACGGCGTCGAGCGAAGAGACGAAGATCGTTCTCCGACCTGGGTATAAATTGCAAATTAGTTTACCGTCCCCAGCGAACGCTCGGTTGTTGGTTTATCCGGCGTGTCGTGGCTGCCTTCGCTTCTTCTTCTCCACCCTCCTTTACTCCCTTCTCCATTCAAGTCGCCTGTTCGTCGTCCCGTCCCAGTCGAATTTCCGCAAGGTGCGCCTGGCCGAATGGAAATTGCGGGAAATTTCATCGAAAACGGATTCTTCTTATCGAACCTTTAATTCGAAAGGCCACGATAAACGATCCATTTCATCTCTATTTCATCGATCCGACACCTCTTGGTCGAAGAGACTTTCTCTCCCTCCTCCCCCGATGATGAGAACTCGTTCGATGATGATTTCCTTGCAACGTGGAGGACAAACAGTCGCCTATATTATGTACATTCGGAGATAAGTTTCGAGGAGCCGAGAGATCCCTCGAGAAGAGGAGGGAAGAAAATGGAAAGACGAGAGAGAGAGAGAGTGGAAGGCCGCGGGCGAGATCCCGCAGGACACGACCCGGCAAATGAGCCGGAGGATGCAAATCAATCCCACGACGCGGCCCTCCAAATCGTGCACCTACGCTCGACTGCGGCGATCCCTTTTCCGCTGGCTGCAACCGGGGAGAGGTTGGGTGGCGGCGACGGCGACAGCAGCACCGACGCGAGCGGTTCCTCCCCTTCCTCCGTGGATGCGTCCCCCTTGGGTACGTCCATGTCACGATGCGTCCATGCAACTGCGGCGTAACCGGCTACCAGTGTTGGCCGACACGCTGCGCAAACGATCCAACACGACAGGATTGCCCCCCTGCTCCGCGTCGCCTTATCGTACTTCTCCCCGTAGGAAACGTCGCGATCGAGCCACGCTCGGATCGGCGACATTTAACTCCCTTTCGTTGCTGCATAAGTGGAGCGAATATAAGTCGCTCACCGTAAATTGCCACCGACGTACCGACTAAAGTCGCTCTGCATTAAATTGGCTACGGCCGATTATATATCTGCGTAGCGATTCGAGTATCGGTGTACCTTTCTCTGGAAATGTAGCAATAATTTCTCGCTAGATTCTTCGATAACAAGATCACCTCCGAAAAAGAAAATGACGATCTTTCTCTCTCGAGTGCAAATTTTTGGCGGAGGAATAGCGAAAGGTTAGTAAGCGTGAGTGGAAGAAGGAGAGAAAGAAGGCAGGAAAAGGAATCTGAACGGAGGAATACGAACGAAAACGTGTTATTATTGATCGCATACCATTCGCGTCGGGGGTGAAGGTGAAAATTTAATTGCCGGTAAACATGCTCGCGACTTGACTGGCGACCGCTTTTGTTATCGAGATGATCGTTGAAAACGAGGGGGAGAGAGGGGGGCAGAGAGAGGGGGGAGCGTAACTCGACGGGTGGTAATCGAATTTAGGGACGAAAGTGGCGCGAGAATTGGTCGACTAGTTTTACACCGAACGCGTGTAAATTTCCACGGAATAACGGGTGCACGGAAACGGAACCGGAGGATCCGACGGATCGCGATGCAACTCTCTCCCTCTCTCCCTCTCTCTCTTTCTCCCTCTCTCGGAATATCGTCGTCGTCGTCGTCGTCGTCGACCAACGCGCTAGTTTAATTACTTTACGAATATTAATTATCGCGGTTCTCTCTCTTTCTCTCTCTCTCTCTCTCTCTCTCTCTCTCTCTCGTTTCAACGGAATAGCCTGTTGCTGTAGAACGAGACGATCGAGGAAAGATTTGTTCGTGAAATTCCGTTGTTGGAAATTCGAATCGAAATTACCCGGATCTTTCGTTCGAGAATGAAATCCTTCGAGATTTTTTCTCTCTCTCTCTCTCTCTCTCTCTCCTCCCCACCGGACGAAGAAAGGGTAGGGGGGGGAAAGGACTCGATTAGCAAATTGATGCGGATCCGGAGTATGGATTGGACCGGAGGATGTTGATCAATTACCGTAATCGTTGCTTCCCCTGGATCGAAGGAAGTTTGTCACGCGACAATGCCTTCGTTCCTTCGTGCCGACTATCATCGTAATTACGTTATCGTACACCGTTACGTATATACACCGTTATTACGAACGTTTCCTCTCCGACGATCGCTGTTTACCCTCCTCTCCTTCTGTCCTCCGCTCTCTCTCTCTCTCTCTCTCGTTTCTTTACTCCCCCCCCCTTTACGATGGAATGGAAAATATCGACGATTCGGAGAATATTCGAATGGGCGAATCATAAGGCTTGGAAACGAGACGAGACGAAACGAAACGAAACGAGTTCCATGGATGACCAGCGGATGAGACGATTCCACGGAATATCGGATAAACGGGGAAAAGAGAGGGGAGGGGAGGGGAGGGGGGGGGCGGAGGAAATCTCCGATATGTAAAAGCAAAGAATACATCACAAACGCGCTCGATACTTCAAATATTCGTTGTCGGGGAACGGAATAACAATTTCCATTACTCGCACGTTTCCAGCCATCGAAACGGTCTACCCTGCGACTAATCGAGAAACGATTCGCGGTTCGTGCGCGGCCCGTTTCATCCGTTCTCTCCCTTCTTGGTCTCGAATCGATATCAATCGATCGATCGAGAGAGAGAGAGAGAGAGAGAGAGAGAGAGAGAGAGAGAGAGAGAGAGAGAGAGATAAATCCAAATAAACGAATCGGCGCGGAAAGGATTGAACGGCGGCGCGTCATTTACCCCTGTGTTCCACTGTTTCAGATACGACCTAGAAACGGACAAGCTCTACTCCATCACGTGGTACAAGGATCACGAGGAATTCTACAGATACGTGCCCAGAGGGGAGCCCAAGAAGCACACCTATCACGTGGAGGGGGTTAAAGTTGACGTGAGTCGAAAACGGCTCGAATACTCGACTTTCTAGCGATGCACGCGGCGTTCCGGGGGAGGGGGGGGGGTGAGGTAGCAACGCAGGCTCGCGAGTACCAACTACGTCTAACAAAGCTAGCGCGACATCGGGAGAAATTCCATTTACGAGCCGGCACGGATAAAGCCGTACGGAGGGAAAAAGCGCGCAGTTACGCCCGTCGCTCCTTTTATCTCGCATCATCTCCAACTTCAATATCCACGCCGGTATACGGACCTCTTTGCGTGTTACGAGATGCGCGCGATTACCTTTGCGAATATGCGTCGGCATATGTATATATATATATATATATATATATATATCGATCTCGAAGGTAAACATTCCGTGGACGATTTTTCTTTCTTTTTCTTCTTCCTTTTTCTTATCTTCTTTCCCTTCCTTTGTCCACGAAATCTCGCAAATTATTATTCCTCGAGAATAATTGTGAAGAAAATCATAAGTCGTTTGGGATACCGTGAGAGCGGTTCGTTTGATCCGTTTTCCCGGTGAAAAGTGGGAGAGACGATGAGGGGGAGAAAAAAGGAAAAAGGGAAAAGAAAGAGGAAGAGACGAAAGGTCTGAATACATTCGGGCCTGATCGTTTTATCGCTCGCATCCGTCCGAAACGAAGAACGGGTTTTTGGGGCCGCGCGCAAGAAGAAAAAAAAGAAAAAAAATAAAAAAAACGCGGGTTTCCTCGCCTGAGAATCGTTGGTTCGTTCGTTGGTTCGTTGGTTGGTTCGCGACGAGGCCAAGACGTCACGCAGCTTTGAACGTAAGAACCCTCTATTCAATTTCCCCTTTCGAATTTTATTCGACGTCGTATATAAAAGTATTTCATCGAGCCGGTTCAAATCGAGGGAATAAGGGAAGGGGAGGTGGGCGGGGAGTGGGCATAAAGTTGGCGATACGTTTCGATACGTGTGTCGTACATCGACATACGTTGTCCTTCCCGCGCCATTCGAACGAGGTCGTCGTGTCTTTATCGTCCCGAATAAATGTTTGACGAATCGGGGCGAGACGAAAGGAAGGGGGAAGAGGAGAGGGAGGAGAAGTTGTCTCTCGTGACCGAAGCAGCTATATCGGTTGTAAAGTCGAATCGCGAGGAAGGAGAGGAGGAAGGAGAGGAGGAAGAAGAAAGGAGAGGAGAAGAAGATATATATATATAAAACCGATCGATCTCTTCTCGGATCGCGGAGGTCCATGCGGAGAGAGAGAGAGAGAGAGAGAGAGACCGTTCTCGATACGTCCGTTTCCGATTCCGCGTTTTTCGGGCGAACGAAAGGCACGAAAGTTCCGTTTTCTCCTCTTCCTCCCCCTCCCCCTCCACCACGCTCGTTAATATCGGCCGACGCGTAACGAGCGTTACGTGATTCGAATCGGCTCATCCTTTTTCTCCGGAGAAGAGGATCCGGAGAACTCAGGGAAGGAAGAGGAAGAGAGAGCACGGCTATTAATCTGACTCGGTCCAATGGCCGCCCGATATCGACAAAGAAATTTCTTTCGTGGACAAAAGCGAGCGTGTCTTTTCACCCCTCTCCACCGCCGCCCATTCCTCCGCTTGGATATCGCTCGCGTGACACTTATTGGAGTAGCAGGAATTAAGTGGATTTAGCGGCCGGAGCCGTATATTTTCTACTTCAGAGGGGGAGGGAGGGAGGGAGGGAGGGAGGGATCTCGACTTTTAATTTTCCTCCACCCCCTTCCTCGTTCGCCCACGTTACGTAACACCGCCACGCTTAATTTCGCTATCTGAAAATTTTAAATCCCCCCTCCCTCCTCTCTATTCTCGACATTTATTTAACCCCTTCCCTCTCCCTCGAATAATTTCGTTGGAACGGAGAGAAAGGGATCAAGAATTCCTCGCGGTCGAAGACGAGCAGAGAAGATTAAGTTTTATCGGCTCGTGGAGGTCGCCCTCCCCTCCCCTCCTACTCGACAATTCGTCGTCGTCGTCGTCGTCGTCGTCGTTAGTTAATTTCCACTCGGACGAAGGAACGAAGCAAGAGGTTTGCGGTCGCTTTTGAAATCTCGTTTCCACATCTTAATCGTTTTCAAAAAAAGAAGAAGAAAAAAAAACTCTCGCGAGTTTTCTCCGCGTTAAACTTCTCTCTCCCTCTCTCCCTCTCGGCGAGTACCTTTTTTGCAGATCCTCTTATTTCCTGAGAAACGTAGTTGGCGCGAAAAAGGGAGGGGAAAAAAAAAAAAAAAAGGAAGGCGAGAAAGCGAGTCACGTTTTATCGGGACGTATACGGGGACGTGTGCAGCAGCCGTTTCTCTCGGTGAATAGCGGACGCGCGGCGCTATTCGTCTCTCCCTCTCTCTCTCTCTCTCTCTCCTCGTTGGAGGCGAATCGGTCGGTCCGCAGGAGTCGCGCGCCGCTCGCCGGCGAAACACGAACGAAATAACCCCCGGAGGTAATGCGATTCCCGCCAACGTTTCGACTTGGACCCTCCATCCACGCCCCCCCACCTCCTTGTTTTCCCGCAACTTTTCTCGCCAAACGTAAATCGATTTGTCGATGAGGAAAGTTTGCGCAGAGGCCATCCTCCTCGTCGTCGTCGTCCTCGTCGTCGCGATAAAACGTTTTCTCGCTCGCTCGCTCGCTCGCTCGTTCGTTCGACGACCCGAGAGTCGAGATCTCGATCGAATTTTTTTCGGCTCTTTCGAAAGCGCGCGAGGAAGGGGCAGGGGATCGTGGATATTTGTAACGCCGAAGCGAAAAAAAAGAAAAAAAGACACGCGACCGGGTGTCTGATAAATGGATTATCAACGTTGGCGGGTCTTCCCTTTGCCCCACCACTCCTTCTCAACGTAGTAGGAATTAATCGGCGATCGGATCTCTCCGCTTTCGATATGAGGAAGAGGAACAGAGAGAGAGAGAGAGAGAGAGAGTTTCCCAGGGAGAAAGAACGAAACAACTCCTCGTTGTTTTTTTTCTTTCTTTCTTTTAACTGGCCATAGGAGGAGACCCTATCTATCCATCCATCCATCCATCCATCCATCGTCGAAATAACTTTCGATACACGTAGATCGGGGCACGCTCGTGCGGCAATAAATCGATATAAGCGCGTGTAAGCCTCTTACCCACCTCATAGCGTAATATTCTATCTATGAAGAATAATTGAAGCTGTGCACAGCGTCTGTGCGGAAACGGTGAAGGTAGGAAACGAGAGCGAGTGGTGGTAGGGGGGCAAACTAGGCAACAGCTCGGAATGGAGAGGTGGGCGACGTGGATCGTCGTGGCCGAAAAACGTTTCGAGCCGGTTCCCCGTTGTTTGGAGTTTTAAAAAAGGGGGAGGGGGTGGAGAGGAGGGAGAAAAGTCGCGCATCGATCTCCACCCCTCGCCACGGGGGGAGGGATCACCGTTGGAAAGATAAAGGGAAAAACTCTCGCTCGCGAAAAATTAGTGGCCGCGATTTATAGGGCGACGTGGACGATTTTGTTTCAGTATCGGCGCTCCGATCACCAGCAAGTTCTGCTTCAGAACGTGAGCCTGTACACCAGCGGGAAATACAAGTGCGAGGTGATCACAGAGGCTCCTAGCTTCAATGCGGTCAACGCGGAAGCCAATATGGAGATCGTAGGTGGGTGGAACCCAAGTAAGGTCGTAAAATTATGATTGGTTGGTATTATGTTGGACGAAGAGAGAGAGAAAGAAATAATCGTGGAAGATTCGAGTGAGTAAGGAGAAGGTAAATTGGACAAAATTATTTCTTTTCCGATTTTCGGTATTTGTATTTTATTAAGAGATTTAACTTTTAACGAAAAGGATAGCACGCTTTTTATTATCGTTTCAGTTAAAAAATGTGCAAAAATGTGAATGTATAAGAAAAATTAACATTGCATTTAGTTAATATTGAATAGAGAAAAGAAAATATATATAATTATGATTGGAAGACTTGGAGTTTGAGAATTGGAAATTGCATTCCAAAGGAACGTATATGTTCGAGGAAAAGAACAATTTACTTGCTACGAAAATAACGATAAAAACGATAAAACTGAAAATTATAAAATGAAAGAAACAATGGAAAAAGACATGCTGCGTACCAATGGCTAGATCAAAGAATCTCAGATCAAAGCTCGTACACATCATTTACGGCCGGCTTTAAACGTTAAAATTAATTCTAATAATTCTAATAATAAGTTTTGCAAACTTGTGCGAAAAATATGTACATTCAAATATGTACATTCTTCTCGCGTGGAACGAAATAAATGAAATAAAAAAATTAAAAAATTAATTAAAATTAAAATTAAAAGAATTAAAAAATATAAAAATATTATCGAATCGTTGTTACATTATTTGCGTAATTTCTAATACGAAATCCTAATATAAAATTGAAATTTAAAACGCTTCTTAAAAAATTTACGGAATATCTCTCTCGGCTATTCAAACGATCGATCAATCATCGATCGATTCTCTCCCTAAATATATATATATATATATATTTAATCTGTAAAAAAAGACGATTTAAAATTTTAACGCACATTTGTCACAGAATCAATTTTATCCAGCTTATTTGAGATATGCACCGTTCGAAACGAAGGAAAACCTTTCCTTCCTTCCAACGGTCACGCGCACGATTAGAACGTTCACGCACGTTGCAGCTGTCGTGCGGCTTCTTCTAAGCTCTAACCTCCCCCCACCCGCTTCCCACGCGATCCTTGTGAAAATGGAGATTCAATTTTTCGGGATAGCGCTCGCAAAGGAAAGATAGAGAGAGAGAGAGAGAGGGAGGGAGAAAGAGACAAAGTCCGAGGAGAATATTAGAGAGTCCGTGGTGTGTAGCGGGGTGAGAAGGGGAGGCGGGCGTAAAAGGAGAAAGAAAGAGAGGGGGGAGAGGAAAGGGAGAAAGGCTTCTCGAGCGTAAAAGCATCTGCTGGGCGCGACGCGAGAGACTAAAGGGGGCCGCGTTCGAAAGCGTTTCTTCGAAAACGATGAAATTTCCTTCCTTCCCCCCCCCCCTCGCGTTTCCTTCTATTCTCCGTAGTCCGGCCGCGCTCTCCGACCTATGCACGATCGATAACCCGCCGCGTACCCGCCATTACCGTGCCTTTACCGACCTCGTGGAAAATTTTCGTACGCGGCAAATAACCCGCGGCCATCCCTCGTGTCTCTGCCCTTTCCCCTCTCTTTCCTTCCTTCTCGAGCCTCGAAAGTAAAACCGGGGAATCGCGTGACACGGGCTTCGTCCAATTTCCTTTCTCTCTCTCTCTCTCTTTTTGGAAACACACGTTTGACGTTACTCTCGCCGATGTAAAAGCTTTACTTTGAGCGATACTTGAAGATCACTCGAAGTAAATTTCAACTCTCGTTCTCCTCGAAAAACCTCGTAAACCGCGAAAAGAGGAGGGAGAGATAATTGTGAACCGAATCGTTCGTGAGTTTTGCCCTCGAAAGGGTTACGGTTAGTAGGGAATAGAATATTCTGAACGTGTAGTGACAGGTTTGCAAGGCTTGAACTATTTTTTTCCGATCTCCGACCAAGATGGAGAGAGAGAGAGAGAGAGAAACAACGACGCGTTTATAAAGGAGGAGGGGAAAAAAAAGAAAAGGGGGAGAGAAGATAGGTAAAGGTTGTTGTGATTGCAGTTCTACCTCAAGAGGGACCTTTGATAACGGGCGAGGAGAAGATTTACGCGAGCGGGGACATCCTCGGTTTGAATTGCACCAGCGGCAAGTCTCATCCCGCCTCGACGTTCAAATGGTTCATCAATGGGAAGCAGGTGAGAGGAAGGCGAGAACTTGGGGGTTTTCGCGTCTTCCCTTTCGTACTAGAGAGAGAGGGAGGAAGGGAGAGAGAAAGTTACACAGTTTGCCACGGTCGAAAGTTATAGATAGACTTTGGAGAGGCGAAAGCGTGCAACGGATAGACGAAGCGTGACGACGAGCAGGACCTGGGGATCGTTAAACGGATCAGAGAGAAAAGGGGGAGGGAGGGAGGGAGAGCGCTTAGGCTGCCGGTCGAAGGAAGCGATACCGACGGTGGCAACGACGACGATGCTTGATGAGCCAAAGTTCCAATTAACGAGCGCTACCGAAAGCCGTGAGAGAAGGCGCGTAATATATATAACGTGTATAGGGTACAGTCTCGACCAACCGCCGCTACGCAACCACTTCTCTTTTCCACTTTCGACTACACTTTCGTCTACACTTTCGTCTACACTTTCTCCCGGGAACTTTGCAACTTTCCAACTCTCCCTTTCTCCCTCTTCTCCCGTCGGGGAGAAGAAAGGCGAAAAGAAGGAAAGGAGAAACGTGGACAAGGGCGAAATTCGGGCAACTCGGTTAACCGCTTTAATTAATCCACGTCACGTAGACCTGGGAAAGGAATCTAATTTGTCCGCGAGAAAATAAAAAAAGTCGGAGGGGGGGGAGGGGGGGATTTGGAGAAAGGAAGCGATTGGGGATGGCGTGCGCGAGGTCGTCGGGGGATTCGAATATAATCCGCAAAGCGGAAGCAGTTGTGAGCGGGGCGAAGCGAGCGGATGCCAGGTTTAAAGATTACGTCGATGAACGTCGGTCGTCCCCTTTAGGGCTTCGCGACGAATCGCGACACGGCGCGCGTCGCGATACGACGGCTCGAAAACTTTTCCCTTATCGGCCGCGCCTCGTCCCCTCTGTCTCCCTCTGCTTCTGGCAAAACTTGCCTCGCCTTCTCGGCGATGTCCATTAAGAGTTGAGCGAGTTTACCGCGCCACTTAACGCGAGTAGTAATATCGTTTCGAAAACGTCTCGTCTCGTCTCCGATTCGCCACTCTCTCTCTCTCTCTCGATCCGTTTCGAGGGATATAAGGGACCTTGTATCCTTTCGATTCGAATGGAGATAGAACGAATAGAGATGTTCGAAAAGAGCAAGAAGAGATCGAGTTACGATCACGATAATGAATATCGTTTCGGGAAGAAGATTTCTAAGAGGAGGGGAAGAAGAAGCGAAATTCGAAATTTTCTGGAACAGCTGGTAGAGAGAGAGAGAGAGAGAGAGAGGAGGTCTAAACGCGCATCCATCCATCCGGTTATCATTTCTGGGAGAAGGGACAAGGCTCTTTGCTCGGATGGCCCGCGGCTGGGAATCTCGTTGGGCGGAAAGGGGAGGAAATCTCGATAGGGACGACGTTTCCGCTTCCCTTGGCCCTCTCCACCCCCATTACGCCACGCAATCGCGTCGAATCGCGCGCGAATCGAGTATCGTTTCTCGCCCTCTCCCTCGATCGCGATAATTGGAAATATAATTCCGTGGCGAGAGATCGATCGCCGTTACGAGATCGTAACGACATACAATTCGGGGGAAGAACACGTTCCGTCGTTGATTCGTTTCAGGTGAAGCCCGACACGGAAATGGTGTTCGAGCAGCACGGACTCTACTCGGTGATATCCAGTTTACGGCTACAGTTGGAACCGAATCACTTCGCTGGCGACAAAATAAACGTCAGGTAATTTCGTCCTGGACGATCTTCCTCTCCGACCACTCATCACCCACCACCATCACATCAACCAGCCCCCCTCGAGTCCGACGATTAATGCGTCTCTATCAATTTTGTCAAAAGATGCGAGGCGACCGTGGAATTGGATTCAAACTCGGACGCGCTGCTCCTCGAGACTCGCACAACGGAAGTTTTCGGTAAGCATCCTTTCGCCTCTTCCTTCCTTCCTTTCTTTCTTCCTATTTAACTCTCTCCTTCGTGCGGAAAAGAGAGAGAAAGAGAGAGAGAGAGAGAGAGACGGGAACCGTCGAAACGACGGACGCGTTAATTAACGCGTGCTCGACGTCGCGAGAAACGATTACCTCGTTATTTCTCGACCAAAGAGGCGCAACCCCGGAGAAAGCGAGGAGGGAAAAAGGAACGGAGAGGGGGGAGAGCGCGAGGAGTCACTTTCGCGCGAAATTAAGCATCGCTCGTGCCCTCTAACGAATTAAGGATGCTTTACGATCCTCGTCGTCCAGAGTGGAACGGGGTAGCCTACGCCGGCCGCAAAGTCGGGCCGAGATCTCCCTCGAGAAACGGCCGCGTCCGTGGACCGTTTCAAAATTAAAACAATAATTTACCTTTCGTTTACCTTTTGCCTCGCGATCTTTCTTTCTTTCTTTCTTTCTTTCTTTCTTTCTTCCACGATCAATTTCAACGCGTAAATTATGCCCCATCACGTGCCACGAACCGCCCATTCGACCCGAGGATGGACGGAGGAAATCGTCCGTTGTATAAATGAAAAATTAAAATAAAAATGGAGAACGGATGGTGGCGATCGATCGAGAAAGGAGAACGAGAGGAGAAATTTAGTCCCCTCGTCTACTCGAAAATCGCCAAAGGGGAGGCAAAGGGAAAGAGAAAGAGAGAGAGAGAGGGGGGGAACGTCTCGACGAAATTGCTCTTAACGATCTTCGATTTTCTCTAGTTAGTCCAAGTTGTTCTCGGAAGCGACGTACGTCGCGTTGCTGCTCCTGTCGCATTTGCCCTTCCCCTCTCCCCCTCCCCCCTGCCTACCTTCTCGGTGTCGGGCAAAAGTCGACTTAAAAAGTTGAAATTTCGCGCGAAGTCCTTCCCTCCTTCGTCACTCTACCTCGCTTGTTCCGGATGTTTCAGTCGCAGGACGCGCGACCACCCTCGCGTCTGCCGTCTGCCGCTTGACGGTGGTTAGCGCGCTGCTCGCCGCGCTGCTGGTCTAGGAGCAGGATCGACGACGAGCGCGGCCGGCCGCGCTTCCCTCCTCCGAGGAGCCGTCGAGGAGGAGACCGTCGTCGGAAGGAGAGAGGGCGAAGCGTCGATGAGAGTGGGGAAGAAGAGGAGAGGAGAGGAGAGGAACGGAGCGGAAATGGCGTTTCGAAAGGATCGCGTTTGGCTACTTGGCCGGATGGACGATCATCGATCCAGAGGGAGGAGCCCGGAGAACGCGGAGCCCGGATTTACCGTGCCGCGTATTACGGCACGCGACTCGAAAATACGATTTACGAGGGTGTAAGCCGATTAATTCGGAACGATTCGACGGGAGCACGGGCTGGCCGTAAATATTTATCGAAAAATACGCGTGCACGGAAGCGAGGGGCATGATTATTCTTGGAGCGACGATGGATAGGAATCGGGCGAGCGAGCGGGCCAGCGAGCCGTCTCCTCCACGCTCCTCCACGCATATCTATCCGTGTTTCTCTCGCATCACGCGCGTAACGATACGTCTAAGTAAGTACGTGTTATCCATCCCAGTTGTACGGCTTCCAAGCTTCTAATTCCCGTTGTCTACTTCCCGAAGGACGCGACGCGCCCGCTCGCTCGCTTCGCGATCCTCCCTCCTCCTCCTCCTCCTCCTCCTCCCCCCCCCTCCTCCTCTTCCGCCTCCTAGACGTCTGTGAATACTTTATACATACTATTATTACCACTACCACCACCACGCCTGCCGTATCTATCGAGAAATAGATACCTCGTGATCGAGATTAGAGAAAAAAAGTGGCGAAACGTCGTCGAATCGTCGTCGCTTTCCGTAGAGAGAAACGCAATGCGCGATGATCGCCATCTCCCGTCATTGTCGCCCGAAAAACCCCACATCGGATCGGAAAGAGATCGTACGCGTACTTGTGTGTATGGCCTAATGTATATATATACATATACATATTCGCAAATATCTAGCAAATAAATCGTATTTCATTAAAAAAGCGACCGATTTTCAACATTCCCCTCCTCGTTTGTTCGTCGTTATTATCTCTCCTTCCCCAACCCCTCCTCATTTCCGTATATATATGTATATATATATCTCGCGAAACGAGCGCGATTAGAAAAATTCGACTCGATCTCGTCCAACGAACGAGAAAGAGTTAATGGTGGTTCGTGTCACGAGACAATACAGAGAGAGAGAGGGAGGGAGGGAGAGAGAGAGAGAGAGAGAGAGAGAGAACGCGCAGAGGGGCGCCCCTTAACTCGATACCAAGGAAATTCTCGAGAGGATAAACGGTCGGTCGACGCGAGTCTCCCGGAAGACGATCGATGCTAATGGCCCGTGCCAAACCAGACGGCCTACCTACCTACCTACCTACCTACCTACCTACCTATCTACCTGCCTGCCTGCTTGCCTGACCGTCCTTTGAATATGTATCGACGCTCTCTCTCTCTCTCTCCCCTCCCTCCCTCCCTCCCTCTCTCTTCGTTCTCCTCCATTTCGTAGTTTCGAGTCGCGATCCTCGAAACGAGGTGACCAACCGACCGACCAACCAACCGACCAACCATCGAATTCGATTACGGGCGGTTAACATTCGACGCCGGCACGAATTTTCTCCATTTGTGAGCGATCGAGTGTGTTGGACGTTCGTCGACGAGTTTGGCATCGAGGAGACCGAGGGAATCGATACCAGGCGCCAATTATAACCGTGTCGTCGTTTCCGTGTCCCATCCACTCCTACCCTACCCCTGCCTTCGTCTCTGTCGCTCGTCTCTCAACGATACGTAAAAAAAAAAAAGGAAAAAGAGAGAAGGAAAGGAAAAAAAGGGGGGAGGGAAAAGGAAAAATAAGCGGCATCGATATCTCGGAGTTGTTTTTTTCTTTTTTTTTTTCTTTTTTTTATAGCAAATTCGTGTCAACGGCCGAACGGGTGAAGGGAAATCTTACGGTTCGAGCTTAACCAAAGGTTCGCGTGCTCGGATATAACGGAGAACGGCCGGTTACGGCCAAGATGGATCGACCCCCCGGCCCAACCTTAACAGCTATATTAAAATTATTAGAATCCATCGAATCCATCCTCCCCTATATAATAAATTCTATTCCTTTCGATCGAAATTGAATCTCAAGTTGATCGATATTCAGCTCGCGGTCCCCTAACGTCGACCCCCCCTTTAATTAACTTGTTCGCCGAGACTCTCTCCTCCTCCTTCCTTTTTCCTCTCTCCTTTTTTTTCTTTCTCCTTTTTTTGTTCCATGGATGGCGCGCACGCCTCCTCCGCGCTGTCTTTCCCCTGCGACTACATAAATCTCAATTATTCCACTTTCCACCACCGTGTCGTTTATCCACGCGATAGGAAGAGAAGGGAAGGCGACATCATCCTCTGAAGGAGGAACGCGAGGAGGAAGAGGGGCACCTCGATGAAAAACCGTCGATACTCCTCTTCTTCGAAAGTTGTTGTCGCGCCGAATTTCTTCCGCAATTCTTCCTTCCATTCCCTGCCGCATCTTGAATTATAAAATCTTGCGCACCTGGCCGGCTGCTCGGATCGATCGAATTCTCGTTTCCCCTCCCCCGCCTTGGATACGTTTTTCGGCTTCGAGACGAATTTACGGTCACCAGGCCGGTTTCTCATCGACGAGAAATGCGAGCTGCTGCGGATCGGTGAGAATGGGTTGGGGGAACGGTGTTTGTAATTACGGTGGAGAAAAGTTTCGTTGCGAGGAGGACGATGCCGCGCGGCCAACTTTCTTCTTTGACTCGTCTGGCGAAACTGTTTCGAAATAAAGGAGCTAGTAAAGTAGCACTGTCGTGGCATTTTCCGGGAAATGAAAAGCACCGTTTAAAGAGGGACGAGCGAACGGACGATAATTGCTCGACGATTTTTCTTTCCAGATGACTCTCTCGAAAGAGAAGAAAGATTTTCCAAGATTTTTTTCTTCTTTCCCCTCCATTTTTTCCTCTCTCTCTCCTTTTTTTTCCGTTACGATTCGATACGATTTTTCTTTTTTTTTTTTTTTTTTT